CCGTTTTGATGCACTATTCATATATTATTAATATCCTGCTCCAGCATTTCATCGATACTCTTGAACCACTTGGTATTCCCAACTAAACCACTTATATATCCTACTTGTGGACATCCTGTTAGGTTCCAGGTGTTCTATATCGAACATAGATAAAATTAATAACGGTTTCCTTCTTTCCCCTCAAGTTCACAGGTACGACAACGGCTACAACAGAGGGGTATTATATTAGTAATCTCTGGATAAAGTTAAAGGTTTCAGAGCTCGGCTCGCTTCTCAACTATTTCTTACAAATCTTTATACGTATTTACGCTGATATCTGCAAAAGAAAAGTACTCAAGCATCCTTAGGAGAATACATATGTACGAGTACGTTCATATAAATTTGTGTACATTATCTACATACATACATATATTTACATTATCTGACTATCAACGTCGTCCGCCAACACGAACTCAATCATTGTCACTCAACGCCGCTTGAACGCAGCCAGAATTGTCCCAAGCACTACTGTTCTCGCACCTACATACATACATGCATACATATACATATAGGTTATCTCGCCTTCAATGATCTGCCCGAGTATTGATGCAAACAAATCATAGTAAAAAATCATTATTTTTCGCAAGTAACGCTCACCCCTCCTCGCACACGCCCCTCAGCTGGGTAAATTACAATTTACAATGCTTTAAATGCCATTATTCCAAAATGTTATTGAGTTAAATTAGAAAATAAGCGAATGAGCCAGTGGTTGGTTGTGATGATTGTGTTGGTGTTGCTGGTGCCTCGACACAGTCAGCGAAATGACCGAGAGGGGTGGACGCTATCAAGTCGGCGATGCGGCATTCACCAGCTGGCAACATTTCACGACTTTCGCGCCACACACCGAGCATACTAGAATATACTTGTGTATGAGTATGTGCATATCACATATGTATTATTACTTACATAGTTACATGTGTATGCGCATATGTATATTTAATAATATTATGGCAAACGTAAGGTTTTTTGTTTCAAAAAATTTACAATTACAATTTTCATGGCAATTTTATACATACACACATACATAGATAGATTTATATACTCGCATAAGTGTACACACAAATAAATTACATCGCGCAGCTGGCCGGCTGAATGATCAACTGAATTTTTCGTCGACTCGTCGCCAATTGTAGAAAATGTTTTTCTTCAGTAAACGACCGCCGGTGAGCTAGTGAGCGAGCGGGCTTACACGCAAACGCCGCACAATCGCTGTTGACCTCTGGTCCGGTCCGTCCGCTTAATCCACTAAGAGCTGTTGCAGTGAAGAGTTAGCGCGTGCACGCGTCTTTGCACTCTCCGCATTTTATCATAATCAACGGCTGTCAAGAAGCGACGCGCTAGCTGCGCTGTGTGCAAGGTGAGGCGGGTGAGGGGGCTAAAGTAAGCCATTGCGTTTGACCATTAAATTTAATGCCGCAGATGAAAGTGATTTGCGCGTCGCTCGTTATGAGTATTAAAGTGAACTATACTTTTGCGCGTTTATTTCTTTGTTACTTTATTTGTCTGTTTGTTTGTTTGCTTGTTTGTTTGGTTGATTGTGTAGTCTTCTCGGCAGACGACGTTGTCAGTTGCATCTACAATTTATAACTAGCTTTGCAGATATGTACTCGTGTGTGTGTACTCTATACATATTTATACAAGTGTGTGTTCTGCTATTGCTGTGCTGTAATTATTGTTATTTTCTGCTACATTTTGCTCAAGATCATAAATTAAAGAGAAAAAAGAAAGCAAGATTTTGTAATAAGTACTTGTAAAAATAAATTAAAATGTTGTTTTGTATGTACATGTATGTACTTGAATATGCTAGTAGATATTCATGAATAAAATAAAATAAAAAAAAAAAAATAATTCAAGAGCTGACTTATATTATGAGATTTTAATTAAAGTAAATTTATAAAAAATAAGAATAGTTTTAAAGCAAAATAAAAAGAAGATAATTATTTTTATTACTCATATTATAAATATAGTTTTTAATTCTTTCTACAGTTTCGAAAAACTGAGCATTTTAATAATAGTAATTTTTAATTAAGAAAAATAAAAAAATTGCAAAAATAATAATAAATTCATAATATTTAAATACGTGCACATACAAATAATTGGCGCTTTGTCAACGTTAAAGCGATTTTCGATCGAGCTCCTCCTCCAATTTGTGGTTTTGCATCTCGATTTTTTCCCAACAAATGGAGGGACCTACAATTTATACCAAGCAGCCTCCGAACGGCTGATGGTTTTTTTATGAGGAGCTTTATTTCATCTCCGAAATACTCTCGGAGGGGTTGCCATTCCCCGCCGAGGGGTGGCCGCAATTAGAAAATTTAGCTAGATTTTTTATTTAAATTTATTTTCTACAATTTTTTTTTTTTGGATATTAGTACGACACCAGGATTTGAACCCGGGCCTTCCGAAAGGCAGTAGGCACTACTAACCACTCGGCGACCGCGGCCGATTACAATTTAATTAAATTTATATTTTTTATTTCATTATAAATTATTTGACTTTCTTAGAAAGTGTAGCTTTTTGACATGTGGATATCGAGAAGAAATAAAACACTGAAAGGCCTTGCCATTATGTTTTAAAATTATTTCAAGCAAGTGACGGCCATGGCTGTCTCGTATAAACTTCAGCTGAAGAGTTCATTTTTCGACCATTTTTTGCCGCAATTGATGACGCGCCCAATTTTCTCTCCACTCTTCCATGGCGTTAATCGTCTCGGCCTACCTGAGTAGATAACCATCTTCACAAAACCCTACAAAAAATCGGTGCCAAATCGAACGATTTTGAAGATATAACGGCGGCTCAGCAATGGTTTGAAGATTACCAAACTCAATATGGGAGAATACCATTTCAATTAGAAGTCCGCAAAACCTCCCCTAAAGTGGATGTGCACAGCTTTATTCGGGGCTTCTTCGATATTGTGATCCATAGCAAGTATACCGCGTAATCGACTGGAGTACACGTGGTACGAAACCGATTTATGATTACTCGAAATATCGACACTGAACTGAAATTGTTTTTAAATTGGGATGATTTGCAAACATTGTTTCGGTAAGTAAGTTTAGTAAGTTTGTTCATTATGATACGGCCAACAGAACTGGCAAAAAGTCTAGTTTCGAAAAAAGTATCGCCGGAATGAAAACCACAAGCCTAAAAAAACATATTCTTTTTCTTGGCGTGGGCAACACTTACGCGATTATAGCCGAATCAACTACAGAAGCCGATTCAACTATATTGGCTCTTCCCTTTCACTGGTGGGTACTGCAATGGATACTTTCAAAGCTAAAGCGTTTTCGGACGACATCAAAACCAGCGAAGCCGCTGCCTCTTCATTCGTTTAACTATATCAATGTCACCATATAACTCGTACAGCTCATTATTCTATCGTCTGCGATATTCGTCGTTGCCAATGCGCCATGAACCATTGATCGTTCGCAAAACTTTTCTCTCTGAGACTTCCTGCGCTTCCTCAGTGTATGTCGACACGACGAGTGAGTTGTAGAGTTTAGTTTTGATTCATAGGGGGAAGACTTTACTATACCACTGCCTACTCAGTCCAAAGTAGCACCTGTTGCCAAGAGTGATTCTGCACTTTTGTCGGTGTTCAACGTTATTATTGTCAACAGAGACAAGCAAAAATAAAAAATTATGCGCGTGATTGGGAACCTGGTTTAATTTTTAGGTAAATAATAGAAATAAAAATGAAATTCATATTGTGTGAAACCGGTATACCCATAATGCAATTAAGAAATTATATATATATACATACATACGTGTATATACAATACACTTTGGAGATCAGATTTTTGCGAGACTTAAGAGTAAATAAAATAACAAAATAAATAATCGCAAACAAGATTTTTAAACATATTATATATACATACATATGTACATATATAACATATGTGTAAATAAAAAGAAAATCTCCGCTTTAACAGTTAGACAGTTTTTGTGCGTGAAAATATAATATCAGCGTAACTGCTGCTAATCCATTTACTAGCGTAAAGATTAAGACACGTACGATACTATATACGTATGTACATACATATATAAGTATGCATACAAATTTTATCAGCAACAAGTAGAATATTTTTGATTATCTCATAAGATATCTGGCATGTTCATGGGAGTCTACACGTATGTATGTCTTTCTGCAAGCCTTTTCACATGTACATATGTATGTATGCACCTTTGTGTTTTTCTAACAGTATTAGTAAATAAGCAAACTGAGGTGGTGATCATATGAGCAATGAAATTGCTCGTTATCTCGCCTCAGAAGGCCTCCGCAACAGCAACAATGTTTTTATGTCACGCCGATTATATAATAAACTATAAAAATACAGAAATTTAAATTTTTCTCTGCTTTCGAGTTGGAATGCAGTGTAGACCCCCAGTTTGTGCTAAACGGAAGTAATTTTTTACTATTATCACGAAGTGTATTACATACATATAAGTATTCTACTATTATTATACGGGAGTATATGGGACAAAAACGATTTATTTTTTATTTTGACAGCAAGTATTCTTCACTCGCGCGGTGCCATAAATTTTACTTTTTAAAATTGCATATAAATTTGCATTTGTTTCCATGTGAAATGAATTCACTCGAATATTTGTGATTATGATTTGTTTTGGCTTAAATTGGCCTTATTTCGTTTGTTCTAGTTCACTTACGTGCAGTAAATTATTTTATTAGAATTTTTTTATAATGTGGACTAATATATATATACATACAAACATATACATATGTAAAGCTAGCCGAACAGGTATAACGTGTGACACCGAATAACGATTGACTTTTCTAATAATTTTGCAATCGGTTATCCGAGAGCAACCGCTGTTTTTGCAAAAAAAAAAAAAATAAAAAATGAAAATAGTTTAGCAATAATTAAAACTACTCAAACAGTTAAAAAATGCTTAATTTACATATTTGTTTAATAAGATTTGTTGCTCTCTTTTTATTTCAGCAATAAAAATCGTCAACTCATAATTGCTTTATCAAAATGGGAAATGCAGGATACACATGCATTCGAAGGACGTTCTGTTGGCTCAATATAATTTTGTGGGTATGTTGGTAAATTTTTTATAACTTTTGAGTTATATAATTTTTAATTTTGAATTTTTGGAATGAAAGGAATGTCTGTGGAGTAAGAATTTACACGTACTTAAGATTCTAATTCCTGCCGGTCTCTTTATTGTGATGGATGATTTTTTTTTGTATTTGATGGTGTCATTAGAGAAATTGTTTCAATCCTTTATTTCAAAGCGACCGTAAAAGTCAAGTAGTTAGCAGTGTGTATATCATTTCATATATGAAAATTACGCTTAGCAAAACACATATATATATATATATAGCTGAAAAGGTCATCTCATGATTTATTCAGCTGAGATTATCCTTTGTTTAGGCAGGTATGAGCGGCTATCAATGTGTGAGTATTAGGTCCTTATGGGCTCATTGTTATACCACAAAGTTTATCCGATTAGATTTAATTGGCCATTAACTTCGATTTCTTCGAAAATCGTACAGGTTATTTGTCTTGATGTCTGTTATTTTAGACATAGCTAAGAGAGATGACTCCTAGCGAAGGCTACTATTCCGCAATGCAAGGCAAAAGAGAGATCGTTTATTCATTGTAATTGTTCTTTTAGCTTCTATAGCATCTATATGGAAAGGAAGACCGGCACAACATATAATATGATATTGTTGTAAGTTAGCCAAGCGTCCTAATCGACTATGGTAGAAAATAATATCATTTTTGCCTATGAATTCAACTCTAAGCGGCTGAAAGTTCAGCAGAAAACCCCTGCATTGAGTGTGCATTCTGAAAGAGAGTTCAAAAGTTGGGTTTATTGACAAAGCACAATCGCTAAATTTTTCATCGATCTTCGATCTACCCGTATGCATGTCAATACCATCGATACCGTGTTTCGTGTTTCCCTTCAGAGCTGCTCCGTTTGAAATTACAATTTTCAAGGAATGTCTCGTGTCCAAAAGGTGGCTTAATCAATCGATTTAGATCTTCTAGATGAACAGAAGCTAGCGCAGCCAACGTGAATTATACGAGTTTGTTTATGAGGTCAATTTTTGTCACTTTAATTATCACAGCCCACCATAAAGGCTACACATACAAGAGTATTGATCGCAGTTGTATAAATCCAGGGATTGCACTTGATTGAACAAAATTTTTTATTAATTCAAATTTGAAAAATTATAAAATAAAAAAGGACGAATTTAAAAAATTATGAATAGTGTAGATTAAGACCCGATGAAAGCATACATCGAGTACATATGTATATTCAGAAAAAAATATTTTTTACTTCGATCGATAAGCCAATTTTCCGAGACCTCTTGGGAAGCAGAATATATTCGTGTATATGAGATTTTATGCTCAAGACAATGAAATATTCATTAGTACATAATTGGTTAATTATGAGAAAATCTCATCGAGGCTGTTCGGTTAAGAAGCTTCGCAACATCTATCTACAAGAACAATGCAGCCGCCTATAGTAACTTCAAATAATAGCTAATTTATAATTGAGAAAAGTGAATTCGATTTCAATGCTAAACGTTAAAAAGTTCCCATCCATTGAATCATGTGAATTATGCTGAGACTCTACTGAGCCATAACGAACGAATGAATGAAAATTACAATACACTTGATGGCGCATAACTACAATAGCTGAAGTGCTATTCACCTTTAATACGAATGTACGAGGCATATTCAGAAAGTAAGTGTACTGAAATGTTGTTGAGTTTAAACACTTTTATCAAAAAAAAAAAAAAAAAATACGTGAAACTTATAAAATATTGCGAGCTATTTTTCGAAGAAGCTTTCCACCAATACTACCTCCACTTTTCCAATTTCCCCTTTACCTCCTCGTCGGTTGAAAACCTTACCCTTTTCCACACATGTTCAGCTGCAAGAAGGTAAAGAGATGGTAAACTGAAAGTGCAAGATTAGGGAAGTTCGAGAAATGATTCAGGATATTCCATTGACAGCTGGTGAGCAGTTCCTTCCTGACGTTGGTTGCTAATCTCCAATTTGTGGTTTTGCGTCTCGATGTGTTTCCAACAAATGGAGGGGGATCTACATTTTATACTGAGCCGCCTGCGAACGGCTGATGGTTTTCTTTTTATGAGGAGCGCTTCATGTCAGAATTACACTCGGAGGGGCCGATATACCCTGCCGAGGGGTGTCCATATTTAGAAGATTTAACTTGATTTTCAATTTAAATAAATTTTCTACAACTTTTGGATGTTGGTGGCATACGGATTTGAACCCGAGCCTTCCGAATGGCAGTATGCAATGATAACCACTCGGCTACCGCGGCCGCCACTGAGACATATTTACTTTCTGAATATGCCTCGTACATACGTCTGTTTGTTTGTATAAGTAATGTAGTTACTTACTGCGTTTGTTGTACGTCTGCAGCGGAAATTGATGTGTTTTCCGATTTTCATAACACACTACAATACATTGCAATACAAAGCGTGGTAATATTTAATAGCAAACAATAATGCGCCGAATAAGTTAATAAAGCGCAGAAGAGCAGAGTAGAGCGCATATGAAAAAGTGTTAAGTATGCAGTATGCAGGAATATCTGTATGTCATGCAATAGGTAATGCAGAGCAGACGCAGTGACGAGGTTGTGCCATTGTGTAAACTTTGTAGACTGAGCTTTCAAATGTCTGTTGTTTGGTGAAAAGAAAAAACTTTCGGTTAGAGCGCCAGAGATTTTTGCAGTGATACATGTGAAGCCAACACTTTTTTATAAACTAAAATGCATAATTTGTATTTAATTAAATAAAGACGCGTCGACGTGTAGCATAAGTTGCCGAATTGAGGAAACAAAGCTTGGCTTTTGGGCGGACGTGCTACCACAATGACCTTAACGACTTAAAATTGCTCAATTGAATTTCTTAAAAAAAAAAGAATTAAGAACAAAAATATTTAATTCAACCATAAATTTAACCAAACAATTTTTTCTTATTTTTGTACCAACACTCCATACACAATTCAGCTTTGCAGTTGTGCCTTTCTGGGTGTTGGTGTGTGGCTGCGTTTGTCGTACGAGGGTTATGCCACGCTACTGCCGGATCATCATGTCTTGAGCGCAGACTCCATATTCTTAGGGATCGGTGTAATCGGCTTTGTTGTCTCATTCTTTGGTTGCTGTGGCGCTTGGGTGCAATCGCGCTGTTTCTTAGTGTTGGTAAGCTAATCGCATTCGCTCGTATAGCGGAAGCGGAAGTCACATGAAAAATAAATAAATACATCATTTACTCTTTCATTCGCAGTACTTCCTGCTAATTGTTATGCTTTTCTTGAGTGAATTCCTTATTGGAGCGATAGCTTTTCTCTTCCGTGGCGGCTTGGGACGCACCTTTGCCAATGAACTGCGTTTTGGCATCGAACGACACTACAATGCATCTGATCGTGGCAGTTTGGTGGCGCCTTCTGTGGCTGCCATCTGGGATAGCGTGCAGCAATCCGTAAGTATACGTACAGGAGATTATTTGACCTTAATTTGTATTGTACATTGACATTTCTTATTGTTTGCGCAGTTCCAGTGCTGCGGCGTCTCCTCCTATGAGGACTGGTATGATATTCAGTCGTGGAGCGGCAAACGTTGGGTGCCCGAATCCTGTTGTCGGCCATCAGAAGCGCGTAGTCTACTCACAGAGGGTTCTGGCGATAGTTTTTTGCGCGTTGAGTGTGGAAAGTGAGTATTGATTGCCAATCCATTGAACTCGCAACGATTAAAAATTAGTATAACTTAAATTTTTGCAATAGACGCCAACAGAATACGGTAGGTGGCGTTGGAAAGATGATATTTTTTTTACTAAAAACGCAATAGAAGCAGTGTTGATCACTTCAATGAGTAGTTTTTGAGCGCATTTCGACGCAAGTCAGGTAGCTGAAAATGTGAAAAGTACTTATTGTCCTGATACAGCAACGGCCAATAATGTACAATTTTGATTTCGTCGATTTCATTCCTGTAATTTTATAGTAAAAGACACTCCACGGTGTGGAAGACCAATTGTTGAAATGTTTGGTAAGATTGTTGGAAAATCTTCCATCTATAAGCCGCTCCTACGGCCAAGCTTTTAATTTGGACCTGTACTGTTAGTAATTGGACGGTCTGAAGAAATCAATCCCCCGGAAGAGCCCAGCTTTGGCCAACAGAAAGGGAATTGTGTTTCATCGATAGTGATTCGTCATAAGTTTCGAGAGATGGTTTGTGAGGTTTTCGTGCATTCACCTCTTAGTATGGGCCTCGCACTAAGTGATTATCATCTGTTCCTACCTATGGCAGTTTATTTGGCTGGTGAAGAGCCTGTGAAATCCGGTTGTCTCAATTTGTTTGTCAGTAAGATAAGGGTTTCTACTAAAATAAAAAAAGGTATCAAACAAAATGGTGAATAAATATTAAAAAAAAAACTTCAATTTTATGCAAAATAAGGAATTACTTTTGACTAGACCTAAATAAGACCTACTAAATAAAAAGTATCGATAGGGACTACAGTAAAGAAAGAGTATTAAGTTTTCGGAAAATATATGTATATAAGAAAGCATTTTAAACTTTCATTCTCCTCCATATTTAAATTCAAACTTCTGAAAATTTTAACATTCAAGGTGAATTCGCGCTGCGTACGTTTTTACTTTTGCTTTAGGTGCATGTCTTGACTAAAACTTCAAAATTGCGCTTGAATGTAGGCAACATTTAAATTACATAAGACTCTGTTGAATTTGTAACATGAAGTTGTTATATATTTTCAACTCTTACCTACTTTATTTTCTTCTAATCACCTTTCTATGCAATTAAAGATCCGAAAATCCCTCTCTCTGGTGGAGCAAAGGTTGTGCGCACTCATTGCAAGCCTGGTTTGAGGATCAATTGAATGTCGTCGGTGCCATCGGTTTGGGCATTGCATTCGTACAACTCTTCGGTTTGATTACATCTATGCTGCTATTCTGCACTGTAAAACATAAACGCGAAACGGAAACCTACAAATCATATTCGCCATCTATAGATCCGCAGACGCGAACGAGCAGTTGGGAGGACTGAAGTCGACTTTAGCAGTGCGCTAAGTGCAACGATAGTATTCATATCATATCTTATTGATTAAAGGCATTTAATTAAGATATATATATTTATAAAATATTTTACGAATTAACAAAGTAAAAAGTAAATCGATTATGTTTAATAGTAGTAAAAATAATCTATTTAGCATTAATTTATGTGTAAGTTATACAATTGTTGCTAAACTTGTATGCAAATTGTGCCAAAAATATTTATTAAGTGCCCTCAGAAATTCGATAAAGACAACTTTTTTTTTGCTCTAGATCATTTAAAATAGTTTAATTGTTAGGCATTAATAGTGAATGCTCCAACATTCAGAGTGTGAGGAGGAGTTTCAGCAATCACTATTGTATATTTCAGTTTAAATTAAGTTAGCCTCGAAGTGCAATATATTATTTATAACAACTGCAATAAACTGCCAGTTATATTTTCATATATTTAAAAATATATACATACATAGTTATATTATTAAAAAAATAAACAAAAGCTATTGTATTTATAAGTATAATACAAAATTCTAAAATTGTTTGTTAAAAAAAAATGTTCGAAATTTCGTCAAAACCTTCCTTGCACAAAATAAAAAATAACCCCACTATTGCCAAAACTATGATATTTATACATTTAGCTGTAAATAGATTGTTCTGTTGAAACGGCAGCATATCACTGTAGACTAAACACCTTGACAGACGGCAGCGTTAATGCCGATTAACTGCGCGTTTAATCAGATCCAATTTGTAGGTGACAGAAAGCAGTATTGGGAGTTGGTGAAGTTAGTGGATTGTTTGGGGTTTTAATAAAATTCTTCTGGAACAATTTCGATTAATACAAAATATATGCACATAATATATTGCAAGCTAAAATCAATGAAATATGTTTTAAATGATTTCTACTTTTGTTTCTAGTTCTCTTTATAATTTTAATTTAGAAGTTAATTAGCGAATAATTTTTGAATAGACACTTTGGTTGCTTATTTTTTGTAGACTCTAACCAAGTACCAAATAATCAATAAAGAAGATGGAAATGTTAAATAATAAATTATTTATTCGGAATGTAACAATGAAATGGAATTGTAAAAAATAAAAATTTTCATTGTTTCTTAATCTACGAAATAAATCTAATGACTACATGAAAGAAATGCTTATTTTTATAATCCCACGATTTTGCCACCAATAATATCCAGCTGCGCTGTGATGCCTTTTGAAATCGAACGTGCAAGATCTTTGGGTTTCTGAAACGGAAATGGTAATGTAGTAAGTAAATAAAAGGAGTTCGTATATCCCTTTAACGGTTTTTAAAAGTTTGAAATATGTAACATGTATAATGTTACGAATTTTTGAAAATCTATAAAAAGTAGAAATAGAATTCAGCCAGACGGCTGTTACTTAATTTATTCTCTATGTGGGGAGCGCTCCGAAGAAAGAGGATAATGGGACTCCCATAGCAGCACTTCAAATAAGCGTTTTAGTAGAGCTCCGAATATGTAGTGAAAAAGGGAAAGAATATAATATAATTTGCGCTTTGTTACCGCTGAAGCGACTTTCGTCCGAGCTCCTCCTCCAATTTTTGGTTTTGCGTTTGATGTTTTTCCAACAAATGGAGGGACCTATAGTTTATATTAGGCTGTGTACGAACGGCTGATGATTTTTTTATAAGGAACTTTGTTTCACGTCAGAGGGGTGGACATTCCCTGCCGAGAGGCGACCGAAATTGGAAAACTTAATTTAATTTCTTATTTGAATTAATTTTTTATAACATTTTGGATGTTAATACGACACCAGGACTTGATCCCGAGCCTTCAAAATGGTAGTACGCAATGCTAACCATTCGGCTACTGCCGCCACCACTTTCCTAACGATTTATATATGGTGGGATTGCAAATAAGCTTTATCCTAATTCAATCTAATGTAAATTTGGAAGATTTATTTAGCGAAACATTTTACAGTTGAAAAAAAAATCGCAGATTTTCACAACAATTATTGAACATGAGCCATTCCATTCAGATCTTTTGAAGATATGTCTTCATGGGGCGCCGCAATCACTCTTTTTATGATTTCGTATGGCACGTTTTTTACTTATTTTTTAAAAACATGCAAATTTACGACAGTTCCCGTTGAGATTTTGTGGGAGTACTAAATGTGCACCTTGAGGATTTCGATGGTTGGCTGAGTGATCAGAAAGCTCTCTTTAGGTAAAGGACCTTATAAAACAGGAGAAATTGGAGTAAAAATGTAGAGGGTGCACTTTCCACAGAATCGTTTAAATATTTTTTTTGGTTGATTGGGCAGTGGGTTATTCTTTAATTGTGCATTGTGTATTAGCCGATTTTCTTAGGGATCAGAAGTAAGAATGGAAAATAGATTTTTTTCTTTGAAAGTTTGATTTACAGTGCATTAAGTTAAAATTACAATGTATTCTCAAAAAATTAACAAATCAATAACATATACCTACTGATCTACTGATTTATTGCTTTTAAAATTTCGAAATAAAATATTGTATCTTTAAGATTGATAGACCAGTTGCCTTCAAATAGTTCGGAAAGTATATAGAAATACACCAAGCTGCTCATCTCTAAATACAATACATAATTTTTTAACTTATGATGAATGTTAAATCACATTTAAAATGATTTAAAATTCTTCGTTAGGCTTTGGACCTAACTCTGTATGCATGAAATTTGGTATTGTACATTCGTACTTGTAAATAAACATAATTGCCGAAAACCAAATCGAAATCGATAGACTATGACATATTTATAGGACCCATACAACCGATTTGTTCAGATATGAGAGTTAATATTTAATCCTCAAATTAAAAGCCATAATTTTGTTATGCTTCGACAACAGCTCTTCCCAAGATAGCTCTTCTTTGTTGTTAATTGTTTTTCTAGTTGTCCTTCTAGCCTCGTTAATATCATTATCATCTTCTATTGACCCAATTAATTGCTCACACACTGTATTTTTCAAACACTAAACCTGCAGGCCATTCAAGTATGGTTTTATATGAACTTCATGCAAATATTTACTAAGCGATGCTCTCCCATATACATATGTATATACATACATATTTATACCTTAAGATTAGAGTAAACAAAAAAGCTCAACTCACTTGTATGATAGCGTTGAGGAGATTTGAAAAAGCTTCATAACCGTTCACAATCGAACGTGCAATACCGTCAAACATATCACCGTTATTGCCATATTTCTCATGCTCACTGATAGTGTCCACAATGGGTTCCAACTGCAGAGGCAGACGAAGAAAATCAAAAACATTATTGAATTGAATTGAATTTAAATGAAGACATGAATAAGACAAACAGACTCGTAGATGCACGCTTGCCATTAAATAATTTTATTGCATTTTTCAATACTCACATTCGTCAAATCCACCACCTTTTTCTGCGTCTTGTCATATGAGCTGAATATCTTTGACGGTATGCCCTCGTGCTCCAAATTCACTGACTCGGCCGTCTTTTCTTGTGTTGGCAGTAAAGAGATCTGTCGCGGCACATAAGAGAGAAATTCCAACAAAAAGGTTGATAAATGACTATCATCATGTTACCCTAAATCCGCCTGAGCTGCTGCTGCTGCTGCTGCTGCCGCCGCCATCCTCGGCTTGCGAATGTACGGTGTACTCGGCCAACTGCGTTTCGTCGATCCGAAAGTTTGGACTATTGTCAGCTGCCGTTTCGGTGTCATCTGCCGGGTTGGGCGAGTTTTGGGCGGTGCCGCCGTTGACCTCAAGCAAAAGCTGACTGTTATTATCTACTGCGGATTGCACAAATGCAGCATCGTTATTGTTGTTGGTAATTGGTAGCGCGCGTGCATGAAGCGTAAAGAGCAAGAAGAAGAATGCACTGAGCCGATTAATAATGTGCAACATTTTAAGCGCTTTAAATTTGGTTTAGGGTTTTTATATTTAATTAAATTATTGTCTTAGGTATTTTCACTTCGATAACCGTTACGTTAATACAGCGCATGCGCAAGCGCACGTTCAAGCACAAAAATTCAACTGAGCCGTTGAAGGCAACGGTTTTATTGGCTTGGCCCGCGGTATGGACATTACCACACACATCATACATATGTGCATGGCATGTTTACAAGCAAACTTACAAATGTTGATCTATACTAGGGTGGTAGTGATATTTTCTTTTGCATTCGAAGTAAAAATATAGAAATTATTCATAAATATTTTTATTGAAAAATAAAAACTAGTGGAACAAGCAATGAATGGCAAATTAATGCAATTTTTTACAATTTTTTTAATTTATTTAAATTTTTAGGGTCTAATAAAGAGCTGCACATTAATTTTGCCTCCCCTAGAAACGATATTTGTGAAAAATACAGATATTGCCTTAATTTAGTAACTGAATGTGTAAATAAACTGTAAGTCCGTCCATTCATTGGAAAAAATCAAGATACTCACCGCAAATTGCAGGAGAAGCTCGGCCAAAAAACTGCTACAGCGGTTAAAAATCGCCTATAATTTATATATGTATTTTTTTCGCTCTCAGCTTTTTCTGCCATTCTTGTAGACACAAGATATTTATACATTTATTACCATCGAAATGCTAATGGTATAGTAAATCCATAAGTGAATGAACGTTAAAAAAAGAGTTCGAAGTTTTTAAATTTTAGTTTTATTTCAAAAATGAAAAGCGCCCTAATGTAGCATACATATGCGTGTATGTATTATTTCTGAGAGCGCCTTGTTAATGCAATTTCGAAATTTTAAATTTTATTTGACATTTTTGTTGCTATGTTATTACGTTATTATAAACTTGGCTTTCTGCAACTCGTCTAAAAGCGAACACATTACTCTACCGACAAGCCTAAGTGGTCACACATACGCACAATACACATACACTCATAAACGTAAACTGATCATTGGAAATACTTTCGCATCCGCAAGAAAGCGGAGTTGAATGAGATCAAGCAATACAGAAACAAAATCGAAATCGAAAAGGAAAACGAAAAAAATATGAGGAAGGAAGTGTGTTAATCTGCAGACAACTGACAATTTAAGGCGATGTTTTAATTTACAATTAAATTGCTTGCCATTAAATATTGTTCCAGTGGCCCACTGGTCTCTTCACGGCAGTGACTTGCTGATTTTACCACCTAAAATGATCAATTGTCTGTGCCAGTTTGTGGGGAGTGGGACAAGCTGCAGACATGTTTGACTACATACATGCATGCCGACATACATACATGCATATACACATTTACATATATGGTGTAATTGTTTGTGGCCAAAACAGGCAACGCTCATACGTCAACGTTATCATTATCATTATCATTGTTATTGCTTTTATGGAGCTTACTCTTACCACAGCTACTTACGAGTATATAATATATACATACATATATAAGTTTGCGAAGTATACAGACTAGTGGATTGTTAGTTTGTTGGCTGGATGCGGAATTCACACATCATTTCTGGTGCAAAACAACAACAACAATACAGTAAACAACAGATAATATGTTGCAATAATTTCATCTCTCTCTCTCTCTCTCTTTACAACAAAAAACATCACACATATATGAAGTTTTTTCTCCTCATCTCTTATCAGTTTTTGCTTTATTTTAACCCGCGCGCTTTTTTTTTTATTTATCTATTTACATTTTTTTAGTGGGTTTTACTGTCTGCGCTGCCTGCTCGCATGTGCCATGCAAATAGCGATTATGTAATCAGCTGGTTTACCTCGCTATTAACGCGGTTAGAGTGTTGAAGTTGGAAGTGAGCAGAAAAAGCATGAAGATCATGGTAATCATTATCATCTAATTCATTATGCTCACTATTATTATTGTAATGATCATTTACACACACACACACTAGCGCACTTTTCTCTCATTATGGTGCTGAGTTTTTCTATTTGGTATTACTTTGTCTTCATTCATAAGTGACGCAGATTTTGTAGGCATTTAATTAACCTGCTGACACTATAATATTTTACACATTTTTTTATTTACATATGTACATATGTATGCGTATAATTTGTTAAAATAAACAATTAGTTTTGAAGATTTTTTTCGACTTAAACTGACGCTTTATACCCGCTGAAGCAATTTTCGGTCGAGCTCTTCCTCCGTTTTGTGGGATTTCGAAGTTTTTTTTCCAAAAAATATGGATAACTACTATTTTCTAAGCCGCTCCCGAACAGCTGATGTATTTTTGGAGACATTTTTTCTCATGTCAGAAATATACTCGGGAATCCTCTGCTGTGACCGTCAGCAAATAATTTTTTCAGTGATTTCGGATTCAAATCAATGCCTCTCATTATTTTTCGCCATTAGCAGCTTAAAAAAGTATTAGCGTGCTTATTTTATTTTCTGGTTCTGTTACAATTTCGAATGAAGTAATGAATGACGTTCTGCAGTTAGCTTGGCTATAATCACCCAAGTGGTGTATACTTCAGTAAATGAAAAGTTATTGGTAAGATTAGTGCCACCACATGAAAGTTTCAATTTAGTCATGTCGGTTTCACAATGAATTTACCTTGGATTTGTCATTTGTTTTAAAAATGATTTCGAGCAAGCGACCGCCGCAGCTGGCTCGAATAAATTCCAGCCACAAACCCTGATTTTCCACAACTTTTTGCATCAAATTGTGGCCGCCAGCTATCAACCGTCTCGGGCTTAACTGAATGGACCAGTCATTACAAGAAACGCCCAGCACTGTTAACTCGCGCGTTTTTGAAGGCCATGTACGTACTAGCTGAGTTCGATAGACGGGCAGATAGAGAGAGGAGCTGTCAAGGTGCTTGGAGTATATTACCGCCCGTACTCGGCAGTCCATTTTGAATCAATCAATATATATTAAGATGAACCTCTTCTCTAACTACAACCGTAGAGTATCCTCACCTGGAAGCTACTATTGGAATCCAACCTTGGGATGTTATAACGAGATTTATTTAAGGCCAGGCTCCTTGAAAAAACGTTAATCAAAGTTAAAAAAAAAGTTAAAGTCTTAAACTTATTGCTGAAACACGTCCCTTTTGTTGGTGAGTGACAAGATCTGAAAGCCAAAATCAAAACGGTTTCTTATACTGTATCACATTATGGCCGTAGCTACAATGAAACATTTTAACCAAAAAAAGGACTTAAATTTTTCCAAATTTTAATTGTTTATAAATTTTTAAAAAAACAATGAATATTTTTGGTTGTACTACCGACCATAGAGAGACATTTCAGGGGTAAAATGACGTTTAATTCATGTTTGGTAGGATTAACCGCTTGGCGCGCCCCGCTATTCCCTCTTCTGTACTTACTTCTTGGTCTTTCGGACCTTCGGGATTAATTCTATATTAATTCTAAGAGTATTTTCTAGGAATTTACAGTAAAATTTCGTTCTTTTTAAATTTTTTTAGAGAAGCCTGGCCTTAAAATTGTTATAAGATAGTTCAAGATATCACTTTTTCCAACCACTCAACTCCCTAAACTTACAAAGATCATACTGCTACTTTCCGAATGAAAATATCTTTCGAGTGGTAAGCATTGCGTACTAACACTCGGACAACCAAAGTTCGAGTACTGGTCCGACCAACGTCCAAAATTATAGAAAATTCAATTTTCTATTCATGGTCTCCCCTCGGAAGGAATGCCAAGCCTTTCGAGTCTATTTCTGGCATTAAATAAAAGTTCTCCATAAAAATCCATTGGCCTTTCGGAGGCAGCTTACAATGAACTATAAGTGCATCCATTTGTTGCTTTAGCGGTTACAAAACGCCAAGTATTATTATTAGAATTTGTATTGTCTATTCTGCCTTAGAAACGGTAATCGATTCTAAAATACGAATTGATGCCATCTTAGATTACTTTGAAATACTTCGATGCCTATAAAGAAGAAAGAAGGGGCGGATGCTGTAGGAGGATAGGGGTATTCTTTCATAGGAAGGTTTGCAAATTATAATTTCGAAAACTTATCGAAAGCATAAACTTCAATCATTTTACTTAACTAAAAATAAAAAAATTCAAAAGTAAGTCAAAATCAATAAGGAAAATAAAACTCAAAAAAAAAAAAAAAAATATATAAAAAAATGTTTCGTATACAAAAATTGCTGCTCGAAGAATTCCGTGAAATCTACGAGCCTGTTATAGTGGAAAACCCATTCACACAAGTCACCGAGACTGGAGATGGCATTCGACAGTACCACATAGGTGCGTACATATAAGATAAAACAAATATTACGATTCAGAAATAAATTCAAAAAAATATTATAAAACTTTCAAACAGGTCTCACGCCATCAAAACTGATTTTCGGCTGTGATGATTTCGATTTGGTTGACCTCGATGATTATGGCTATCACAATATGGATCCCGAAATTGAGACATTTCAGTTGGTCAGCCTGTTGCCGTTGCAATTTCTGCGAGTGAAATTCTACCGCAAGCAGGGACGTTGTACAATGCGTCTATGCATTGTGGGGGATGAGGATAAGCCGATGTTTTTTGAATTTGGTGGGCATATGTATAAAAATGTGAGTACTTTCGCAATTCATTGGATAATAAATGTATGATTTTCTTTATAACCGGGTGGTTGGTTAACATTCGGAAAGCCAGTGTTCGAGCCCTGGTCTGAACAATATTCGAAAATTAATTTTTTAATAGTGGTCAACCCTCGGCAGGTAATGTAAGGCCCTCCGATTGCATTTCTGAGATGAAAACCAAAGCTTGTTGGTAATAATTCAAATGCTTAACTTAGAATAAATTTTCATTTTGTTGGAAAAATAAAAAAATACCACAAATTGGAGGAGGGTTTCGGCCGAAAACCATTGTAGCTTTTGCAAAGCGTCATTGTATCATATAATAGACAGTGTGCTCCTTCTTTTATGTCGTTGTGTAAACGCTGAATAACTTTCAAATTTCCCAACCGAGCGATTGCATCAGATATATTTTGGAAACGTCAAGTCAGTACAAATTTTGCCATGGATCGCTTCACACCGAAACAACGCCCTAAAATAGTGACACTTTGCATCGAAAACAGTCGTTCCATTGCGTTACCTCAACGTGCATTTCGAAAAAATATCGCTGCAAAAAAGCACCATCCCTCCGGACTTCTTTTTGTGGGGTTGTCTGAAGAGCAAGGTTTATGCCAACCATCCTCAAATTAATGACGAGCTCAAGTTAAACATTCGTGCTGAAATCGACCCTAGATGCTCGGAAAGGTAATGGCAAACGCAGAAAAAAGGAGTCATTTTGTAATTGCTAATAAAGGTCACTTGATTGATATTGTTTGAAAAAACCCATCCCACACAGTTGTAAGGAAGGAAACTGAACAAAAATACATCACTTATAGAAATCGGTTGTTTTTTTCAAAGTTATTCATTGTTTACATACAGACATAAAAGGTGAAGCACCCTGTATACATATATGTATATATGTATATGTTCATACANATATATATACTTATATTATATAATTTATATTATTTGCAGTTATTCTGGAATACCTGGCGGGAACGCATCGCCACACTGCGCCTCGCTCAGCCTATGCTTTTCCACATATCCGGTTGTAGCCCGTTTTCGAGCACTGATGTGCTGCTCGAGGAGGAGGAAGTGCAAGCATTGGTGCATCCCGTGCCACACTCCGTGGCAAGTTGCATGAGTTTTAATTAGCAAACAAACAGTTTAATGTATGTATGTATGAATATATGTACTTCTATATATGATTTTATTACAAAGTTATAAATGTGACAACAACTGCTTAAAAATAAGAATTATTAATTTTTTTTTTTCAAAAATATATATTTTTATATATTACAGGATACATATATACGTTTACAAGTACAAAACATAGATACAATAGCTCTACAATAGCATACCTAAGAAGACTATTTTGTGAAGCTAATAATTGTTTTTGATTGTTTAATACACTGTGTGCAATACATACATACATATAATATATGTATGTATGTGTATATATGCAGTTATTTACAATTTATTTGATACAGCTGTAAAGTACATATTTTTTCTACTCCTGCCATAATATGCTTGCTTAACAAATCGATATACATTTATTTTGTATTAAAGTATTTAAGTCCTCAATATAAAAACGTACATATGTATTTTTTTCCTAATTTAGAGAAAGTTTTATAATTTCTTTCGGTAGTTATTTTGAAAAATATTTGGAACTCATTTACAATTAAAACTAAAACTAAACGATACTGTGTACCCTTATGCTAAGAATAATAAAAACAATTGAAGAACTTTATGTATACACAAATATTTTAGAAATATGGCTAGATAACTTATAAAATCATGGAATTATATTCATATTATTTTATATTATACAAAAGATTCGTCCCAGTGATACTATTTTTTTCACTTCCTTCCAGTTTATTATTTTCCAATCGTCGTTTCAAATTCACTCGTTTGAAAAATCTCTCTTCTACCTTCAGTTTCCAAATGTTATTGTCTTATCCGAGTTCTTCGAGCTACCGCTGCCGCCACCGCCGCCACTATGCCGATTTCCATTCTTCAGTATGCCATTCGTGCCACCATTGCCGTTACTCATTCTCGGCGCTGGCGGCGCTGTTGTCGCCACCTCGTTTATGCTCACGCTGTGCAGCTTACGAGCGACATTTTCGTAATTTTCATAATTGTTACGCAACGGACAGTTGCTGTGATGCTCCAGTTGTTCTGCGGATTTCTTTAATTTCGAACGGGTTAGCGTATTTTGTAGCTCCGCTTGTAGATTTTCGGCATTTGCCTCTATTGTACCGTTACTGCGTTTTGGCGTTGCCACAAAATCAAATTTCGCTGGTTCTCGACGCTGTTGCGGTTGCTCGTATTCTCCAATTGTTATTGTGCCCGGCCTGAGGTTGTGTCTATTGGAGTTGTTGTTTTTGTTGTTGTTGCTATTGCTGTTGTTGTCGTTGAATGAATCACGTCCGTTTGTGACAATATTCGTGCTGGCATAACCGTATGATGGTCGAACACTGCTACTGATTGTTGTTGTTGGTTTTGTATGCAGCAAATCCACATTATCATAATCGGGCACGGGGGTCGCTGGGGGTTTGGGCGGTTGTTCTGTGGGTGCATTGAATGTGGATGGCCCAACGCCGTTAGAATTGCTGTAATGGTTAATGATTGGCTTTTGTTGTTGTTGTTGGTGCTGTTGTGGTGGTAAAAACTTAATGTTGTTACTGACATTGTTGTATTGCTGCAGTTGTTGTGTTCGAGGCGGTGAGCTTGCGAATTGTGGTGGCTGCGTGGAGAGAAGTGTAAAGGAATTAAATATTTTAAAAAAAAAAGCTCATAACTTTATAAATATATACATACGTATCAATATATATATATATATATATATATATATATATATATAGATAAATGAAATAAAATTTCCGTATTTTAATGTATTATATCTACCTTAGCACTTATATAGATATGTATGTACATACATCAATCACTTAAATCATAGTTGCATAAGCATAATTTCGAAAGAAAAGTTGCAAAGCTGTTCGAATGTGTGACGGGGCGTATGAGTGTTTTTCTCTTTAATTACACAACAATGTGTGTGTATGTTCGTGCTTAATGACTGAATAATATTTAATGATCAAAACTGAAAAATTTTAATTTATATTTTATGCTTGCTGGAATTGTTTTCATTAGGTAAATGCAAACGTGCACAGCTCAAAGCAAAGTTTTAGCGAGACTTATTTAAGCACGGACTTAAGAAAAAACCATTCTGAATGAACTATATATATATATATATATATAACCTGATTTTAATTACTTTAATTCTAAACGATGTATTTCTAGACATGTAGTTTTCACGAAGAAATGAAACGCTGGAAATTCCAGCCAAGAAGCGCATTTTTCGACCAATCGAGGTGCCCATCATCTATCTTATCTGACCTAGGCTATTATATCAATCGAATCTTAATTTCGGTAAAACGATTATTGCCTCGTTGAAAACCCCATGATGTTTTGGGTATTATTATGTATGCTATTTAACTTAGTTAATTTTTTAACTTTACTTTATTTTATATTTTATTTATTTTTATTCATATTATTGTTCGTTACTTTATTTTATTATTTAAATTGTTCAAAGCACTTCCAATACAATAACCCTTCGCTTAGTTCTCCCAAAATTATCTGCCTCCTCATCTTCTTGTGGGCAAAGTTGCATTCCACTCGACAAGTCTACTCTCGCTCATTCGTTTGACTCTAATCGATGGAACAATTATTTTACTTCATTTATCTTAATTTATTTGATTCCATTTCATTCATTCTAATATTATTTAATATAGTTTATATTTCATATGAACTTGATTAAATTGTATTTAATTTGATAAAATTATGTTTGAATTTTCTATTTGATAATTAATTATTTAAAATATTTTTAAATTATTTTACCATATAACTCTCTATATAATTTCTTCTTTTGCTCAATTTATTGTGTTATTTAATTTTTTAATTTAAGTTATTCAGTTTTTTTTAAATTTAATTTTATCTAATTGTAGTCGTTTAATTTAATTCATATATATTCTAAATTTTTCTTAAGATTATGTCAATTAAATTATTTTTTTATCTTATAATATATTTCACTATTTTTACTATTAGGTTGTCAAATATCTCAATTCCGCTTTTTTGATCTTTATTCTATGCTTTATAAAAAGTGTTACAGTGATCGGATTTAGTTAAAATATGCGCCGTTTTGTTCGATGATCTGTTTCCTTCTAGTTAATATTATTTCTTTATTATATTTTCTTCGGTAAATTTTTTCAGTATTTATTTAGTTTAATTTATTTCAATTTTGTTTAATATAATTTAACTGAACGAATTTAACTAATTTTTTTTTGTTTTATATTATTTTATTGAAATTTATTTATTTAGTTTGTAGTTTAGTTAATAATAAAATTAATTAAATTAATTTATTTTCCTTTCTTTTTAAGGTAATAATTTTTATTGATTTTCATGTTTTAATTGTTTTAAATTTGTTTAATTTTTGTTTTAATTTTATTTCATTTTGAATATTATTTTATTTTAATTATTTATTTTAGTTTAGTTTATTATATTTTAGTTAATTGATTATTGTATTTTTTTTATTTTTTCCTTAAAAAAGAATAATGTTTTTTTTTCTTAAATTAGTTTACTTTTAGTTTTTATAATTGTATTTTTATAACTGTATTTTATTCTCAATATTAGTTTTTTAGTTTGTATTTTATTTTATTTATGACTTTTATTTTCTTTTTCAGTTTTATTAAATATTATTTAAATTTAATTATATTATTTCATATTGTATTTTAATGTATTTTATTTAGCAGTATAAAACCAAAAAAAAATTTTTTGTTATTTTTATTTTTTATTTTTAATTTTTTTTTAATTTTATTTTGTTTTGCTTTAGTTAATTTAATTTGGTTTTATTTTATTGGATTTTTTTTTATTGCAAAATCCATTTTATTTTGAACTTTTTTTTTTTTTAATATTATTTTTTTTTTATTTTGTACTTCATATTATTTTTAACTTACTCTGTTTTATATAATTTCATTTAATTAATTTGTTTTATATAGTTTTGTTACTTTTATTAATTATAACTTGATTTTGGTTGAATTTATTTGATTCATATTTCAGTCTTTTCCCTTGATTATATTACGGTGAATTTAATTAAATCTCATTCTTCTTACCGGTGGTGGCATTTGAACTTGCGAGCCATTTGTTGTTGTACTATTATTGGGAAATACACGACTCGCACGATGATTGACATCATCTTCCATTATGGAGGTGTTGCGTAGAGCCTCTTGACGTTCCTGCAGAATGATAATAAAATTCAATTACAATGGAAAACTAAAAATAAAAATTCACAAACATACAGACAAACAGCTAAACAAGTAATTGCAAAACGATAGCTACAAATATTCATAAGCAATGATACTAAAATTATTGTATACACTTGAAGTGTGCACTAAATGAATGAATGTAGATAAATTCATGAGTGCAGATATACAGTTACTCAGGTTGCTTACGTGCCTCATAGGTGCTGAATGTGACGAGACTGCGGCCGCCCCGTGCGGGACGCATTGTCGCATATAAAGCGTTTTCGTCAGCTTGTTGCATGGCGGATACTATTGGTGTTAGTCTACGTACGTATGTATGTGTGATGGCAAGCCGTGGCAACTAATTAACTATTATTATGTATTACAATAGATAAATATGCGCGGGTTACTACATAAAGACCACGGAGTACCGAGCACTACTTAGACTCGTACTTAGAGGCTGACTGATTGCGGTCGCTGCAGTGACTGATTGTTTAAGTGATTGTTGTTGTTTTCTGAGCGTTGACTAATTGCTAAAAATGTCGCTTTGCCTTTCGCCTATTGTGAAAGCGCAGAAAAAAGTTTTAAATAAAACAAAAGCAAGTAAAAAAACTGCACACACACACACATACACACAAATGTATAAAAATTATGTTTCTTAATTTTAACTTATGACACAGAGTTTTTGTGGTTTCGCATGTTTTTTTTTTGTAATAATTTATTAATAATCAAATGCAATAAATAACAAAAGCGTTGCGTGTTTGCAAGCGTGTACTTGTTTCTCGGTTAACAATTAACTGAGTTTCTTCACCTCCCCCCTTCCACCGCTCGTTGACTAATTATGATGTTCTTTTGCAATTATTTAGAACATAACATATGCTACCGTAACGTAACGAGTGTTTGGTAGTGAAGCAAAAATCGACCTCTAAAGCAACAAAGGTGCACTTTTCACTCTGCCGACTAACTTTGAGCGAGTTTTTCTTTTATTAACATTTATTATGAGCTGTGGAAAAATATATCACAATAATGTTTAATTGAGCGCCTGCGATAAGATAACGTGGAGTAAATAAATGTACGAATGTTCATGGAGTTATTGGTGTACGTATCTACAAACACGCGCACAAGAAATGGAGTCACAAGCGAGAATAATTACTTTTTTCTTAGTATAGGCCACAAAAAAAAACAAAAACAAACCACAAATAATTAACTAAGCTCTCTATTATTCTAGCCAATATATTGTTTTTCAAATTATTTTTAATCCGCGTGTATTATTATTATTGTTATTGCTGTGACTGTTGTCACTCCGCGCAGCCAACTCAAACTAAAGGTGTATTTGCTAGCTCACAAGCTAGTTCGCCTACAACATTCCATCAGCTGGCAGTACAGAATGATATCATTCATACTTAGTATATGAGCACTCGAACTTGTGTACTCAAAATATATACCTATGTATGTACACACGTCTAGCAAGTTACGTCTTCCTCACAAAACAATGCGAGTTGAAAGATGAAAAAAATAAATAAATAAAAAAAAGGAAAAAATCATAAAAAAATTCAAATGAAAAAGTAAAGATAAATTAAAGATATGAGAAGATATAAAAAATTAGAAAAATAATAATTTAAATTTTTTGTGTAAAAATATTAAAAAATTGAGCTACAAACAATAATAAAAGCGTTAAAAAATCTAAAGATGTTAAAAACAAATATAAAAACTGAAGATAAAAATAAAAATATTTGAAAAAATTACACTTTAAAAAATAATTAAAAAACTAAAACAAAAAAAAATAAATATCACTAATGAATGAAGTAAAAATAAAAATATAATGAAAAACCACCCAAAAAGTTCATAAAAAAAAATAAAAAATAAAAAATAACTAAAAAAAATGTAACTAAAAACTCAAAGTCAACTAGCAAAAACCTCTAAGAAATAAATAAGCGAAAATTATTTATTTATAAATATTGCTGTGCAACCACAACAACACCTGTTATATGCAATAGCACACTGACGCACAAACACATACATATGCTAACGAATTCTACAAGTAAATTGAAGCTTCAGACAATCAGTGAACAAAAGCTCGGCGCTTCTTTTTATTGTTTTCGTTTTCTGATTTTTTTCATTTGCCATTTGTTTGTTTTTATTTTCATATTTCTCATATTTATTTCGTGCACACAAAGAACGTCAATATCATCGCTGCACATATATATTTGTGATATATATATATATCACATAAATATATGCAGGTATTAAACACATTTGTATGTACATAATGCACTCGCGCAAGAATAATATGGCTAAAAAGAATCAACTAACTGCACGCGTCTGCGTCGTCTGGCTTTAGAATAATGCACGCGCTTAGCTCAGCTAAGCTTTAACTGTATGTAGTAGCTGCTGGTTACGATTACAATGGGACGCGGTTTTGTTGTCGTGCCTATGTGTACCCTCAAGCCAAAATAATACAACTGACGCTTGGTGTTGAGCGTTCAGCTTACGGTGCTAGGCGGTGCACAGCGAAAAATACCCTACGACAAGCTAACAAACGGTTTGATTAAGTGCTCCGACTGTTTAACAATACAAACGCCTCGGTATGAATGATGTGTGTAAGCATGTATGTTATAACGGCTGAGTATTCAGTTAGTTCAGAGTTGTTGTAGTTTGTTGTTTTTTTTTCAGCAACTTCATTCACTCACTTGCGCTTTACGCTTGACTTGTTCAATACTAAAGCTCATAGCTCACATCAATGTTCGTTTGCTTATTTATTTGTTGTGTGCTGCTGCTTTCATAATCCGCTATTCGCTTAACCAACTCCATTGAGCTTGCAATTCTTAGATATTGTTAGACACAAAGGCGTTTGGTCAGGTGCTGTTTAGCGGGCAATTGCAGTTACTCGTTAAGGTATTTGGCAGTTACTTAATAGCTTTTATTAGGGGTGGGTAAAATAACGGTTGCAATGCAATGGCATTTTTCAAGGTAATTAAGAGAAATCGATGTGATTTTTTACCACTCAAAAATTATATTTTTATACTAGATCTTTTATATAATTCGTGTGTTGTTTTTTTTTTTTCAAAATTGCAAAGTACGAGTATATCTTTTGGGTATACAAATTAGTTCGGGCCGCCATCAAAAGATGACTCCACCGGCAAGTTGTGACCGATCTTGAAAGCGATTGTCTATTTGATAGAAAAACGGTTTCAAAGGTTTTTTCTGCTTCCGGATTTGTGTTAAATAAACGGTATTTGCGAAAAGTTTTGATTTGCGAAAGCTTTGGAAGCTTATGTTAAATCTGTATTGCATGAAAACCGGCCAGAAATGATCAAAAGGTATGACAAACTTGATTTTGAAACATGACAACGCTGAAATGGTAGGCCTTACTCCACCCATTGTATTCTCCAGGCCTTGCTCTTTCCGATTTCTAGCTTTCTCGACAGATGCTAAATGATTTGGGTGCTCACCGCTTCGGATATTTTGGAAAAACTGAAGATTGGCTCAATAATTGGATCGAGGGCAAAAAGAACTCTGTTTTTAGAGTTTGTATTCGAAAATTGCTAGGAAGGTGGAGATGGAGAGCTGTTAGTAGTATTACTCATATAGCATAGCATTTTTCCATATTTCTGGTTATTTGTGGATTCCATTCCAATACAGCTGCGCCGGCTTGGGGGCCAAGATTTGAACCGTATACCAGTTGAGGCGTTCGAAATGAACCGAAGCAAATGGTAATCAGTAGTGGAAAGGTCTGGGCTGCACGACGGGTGAGGTTAAATTTTCCAGCTGAGGTTTTCATATAGTTTTTAACCGGCATTACAACATCGGGCCGAGCGTTGTGTTGATGGAAAATAATTTCTCATGTTTAGTCGCAAGTTCCAGTAATTTTTCGGCAACCGCTCGCTTCGATTTGCCGAGTTGTTGTCGATACCGTTCCCCATTGATGATTTCATCTAGTATTAGAAGCTTTTAATATCCCAACCACATACATTAGAGGTGAACGTCATGGATATTAGTATTTGTTAAACTTTGCACAAAATTTTTTGCGCTTAGTCTTGTTGTGTTGGATCTATTTTTCATCATGAGACACAAACCGAGAAAAAACGACTTTTTTAAAGCGTTCAAGAAGCATTTCTGACGAGTTCGTGCTTCAACGTCTCACTTTTAAATTCATCTAATGTTTACCAAAAATCTTTATCGCGTAATGCCTCAAGATCCTCAGCTTCAAACTTTTTTGGCTGCCCAAGACGTTCTTCGTCTTCCAAACTAAAATCGCCACTTTTAAATATATTTTTGACTCGTGAGCTCATCTAGAGCTTGTTTACCAAGGACTTTTATCAAAATACAATTGGCTTCTACAGCGACCGGGTCATGTCTGAGTAGATTTGCCTTATCATTGCCTGCACATTTCATGCCGTTACATGTCAGACTATTAACTGACTGAACAAGCCTGGAGTAAAGATTTGTGTTCAAAATGTTTGGAAAAGGTCGAAATGCTCCAGTAACGTGGAAAGTTTGCTATTACTCTTTGTTCAAATGCACGAACTGCTCGAGAATATTCGAAAAAAATGAATGAATGAAAATACAATATAAGACACTACAGTCACATTTTCACATCACATTTTGCTTTAACCGTTAGTGAATTGCTAACGCTCACGTGAATGAATGAAATCAATGAAGTGACATGTACAGTGTTTTCTCGCTAATCGCTGTATTTGAATGTGATTCCTGTGCGTATTTTTTAATGCAGCCAATGCAGCCGAGATCACTACTAACAACAAAAAGATGTGCCGGAAAAATTTGTTTGAATATGGACGACACTGATCAGAGAGGTGCCCTTACTCAAGAAATAAACAGCCTCTATGCTCAGACCTCCCTAATGCTGGCAGTTGCTTGTTGAAAGTCTTTAGCTGCCTTGGAGTAGTGGAAAACACTGTCCATGCATACTAACGTACACACCTACATACGTGTATGTATGTTGGAATATTGGTATATTTGAAAGTATTTGTAATACAAAATGTTATTTTTTCTCTGTTTGAGTAAATATTATTGACAAATTGTTAGTCGTACTCGAAATTCAAAAGCCCAACAGTAAATAAATAATCATTTAAGTACATAAATATTAACTGACTAATAATCACAATGGTACATTACTTATACACAATGAGTTATGTACATTTATTTTAAATGTAAATGAGCTGATACACCCTACATGTCATGAGAAAACTTGGGACTTAATTTCATTATAAATTTGACGATCAAAAAAAAAAAAGTAATGAGAAGTTTCCCATCTTAATGGTGTCCCTGACGGAGTGAATTGTATGAGGAATATTGTGGTTACGAAGTCACGACCACAATAGCCGTTTAGCAGTCCCCTTTGGGAGGCCAGAGTTCGAGTTATGGTCCCAACAATATTTTTCTAATTGCGCTCGCCCTCGGCAGGAAGCGACAAGCACTCCTATTGTGCTTCTGGCACGCTTCAGCGGTTGTAAAGCGACAACAATATATTGTATACAAACTTATCTTCGATTACGTAACGCTGAATCAAAATAAGAGAATCAAAATGCTGTTATCAGGTCCTCGAGAGCTGTATGCTTCACCCGCATAAAAAGTAGAAAGTTAGGAGTTTTAAAGATCTGAAAATATTCTCTTGGGACCTGGGTTGTGGTCTCTATGTGAAAAAATCTCAGCCGCATCGGCTTTTTCATACTCTTTCTATAAATGCAATTCTACTGGTAGTCTCTCACTGATTTCCTTCCTAGGTCGGAATGAATTTGTTCAAAAGATTATTTGATTTTTCTGGTGGGCGCGTTAGCAGAATATTTAGTAGTGCGTGCTTTTATGCAGATGTCCAAAGGTTAAAGTAAAATCACGACCTTTAAAATTACAGGAAACGTATTTTCTAATGATGGTCTCCCTACGTGAGGAAATCTCAACCCATCTTAGCGTATTTCGACCATCAAACGCTTCCCCATAGATCCATAAGCTACTGGGACGCGACTTAAAACTTCATTTGCTGGGAATACATAAGACACCTAAAAAAGTGAGGAGGAGCTAGGAGAGACCTCTAGAGCCCACATGGCTATCCGTTGTTTTAGGAGCTACCCGCATAGTCTGACCCATTCCACTTACGGGGATCAGATATTAGTGTTTTTTGGACTACATTATCCACTAGACTACATTGGACCACATACATTCTCGTTAACATTTAGTTTCGACACAAGCTCTGCGCTGTTTACTTGGCCGAATGTAGCGCATGAAAGACAATACTCACAATGATTTTCATTCATGAACACCTCGATATGCAATCAAGTCTATTGATTTTGGAGCATAACAAATAAAAACGTTTGACTAAAAATACTCCCGCCCCATCTCTGCCATAATGCTATACAGTTTTCTAGATACCTAGACGGTACATCGACTAAGCAGTGCCTTAGCTGCTACGAACAGTGCAAAAAAGAGTTGAAACGGAAAGTCGCGACTCGTCGCACCGCGCTCGTCATCCTCCTACCCACTCCGCACAAGCACAGCACAGCAGTCCAACATTAATTTTCATGTACTTACCTTGCGTTCGGTCTCTTGGAACCCGTTTTTGAACATACGTTGGTGGGCACGTTTAAATTCGTCCATCAATGCGCTATGCTGATCACCAGACCCAACGCCGACACCGACACTGGCAAGCGCTGAAGAACTACCCACTGGCGGATTGTTGTTGCTGCTGTTGTTGTGATTGTTGATGTGACTGTGACTGTTGCGCTCGTTGCCATTAGCATTGTTGCTAGTAGCGCGAGTACTCAACGTCGTTGTCATTGTCGCAGTGGAAGAGGCGAAAGCAGGCGGCGCGGAGGTTTTTGTGGGCGACGTCGGAGGTGCGGACAATGAAAGTGATGAGGAGGATGGAGACAATGGCGTTGGATGGCTAGGCTGGTGTTGATGTTGCTGTTGTTGGGTTTTCAGCGCCAGTGGCTGTTGAAGCGTGTGATGGTGATGATGGTGCTGCTGCTTTTGTTGCTGTTGTTGTTGTTGAATTTGCTGCCTACTCTGACTGTAATTGTTCTGTTGGTTGCTGTTGCTGTTGCTATTTATATAATTGCCATGACTGTATGTGTTGCTGCTATGGTTGTTGCTGTTGCTGGTTGTGGCAGCATTTATTCGCTGTTTCTGCGTTGCGATGCGAAATTAAGCGAGCGGCGCGCGTTGCAAGTCGCGTTGCGTGTGTTGGTTTGGCGGATTGGGAAATATCGAAAGTAGGTTTTTGTTATTGTTGCATATTTCATTTGGAATCTACTCACATACATATGTATGCGTATAAAAATATTTTTCAGTGCTGTTGCTAGCGTTTTTCACTTACCTCTTTGCGCTTCTTTAGCTCCTCGTTTATGGCACTGGAGAGCGAGCTGCTGTCCACTTGAGGACGCTGGCTTCGGCAATGCGATGGATTTTGCTGCTGTTGTTGGTGTTGGTGTTGCTGATGTGGTTGATGTGGATGTTGTAATTGTGATTGCTGTTGCTGTTGCTGTTGGTGTTGGTGCTGTTGGCTGTAACTATTGTTGCGTAGGCATTTCTGGAATTCCGCCTGCTTCGTTGGCGTCGCTTGGTGCTGGTTGTGGGGCAGAGATTGCGTTGGCTGCAGTATGTTGTGGCGGTAATGGTTGTTGAATTCTGTACGCTGTTGTTGCAATTGTTGCATTTGCTTTTGTTGTTGCTGCTGCTGTCTCCTCGCCTCTCCTGCTGCCTCTTGACGATGTACTTCCACAACCACCGTTCTAGTATCGTGTTCTTCTCGCTTCGCACAAGAAGCTGAATGCGTACTTATCGCTGCCATGGGCGGTGGTGGCGGTAGTGTCTCTTGAGCGCTGATTGCACCAACAGATCTCGGCGTGCCATAATCGCTTACGGTTCGCGGCCCATTAACCACCGACTGTGTGTTACTAACAAATGTATTATTAATAGATGTGCCCTGCTCGGATAATTTTATAATCGTTTTGTTGACTTGTTGTTGACTTCCGGAAGGCTTCGTCTCCTCGCCACTTCTGCGCAATTTGCTATTAGTATTGCCTCCATGTAGCTCCACTCTATCGTTATATACAGCTGCCGCTGCTGACGTGTCATTCCAACTCGGCGCAGCGGCCGGCTCTTCGCAAACGGATGTCAAACGCTTCGATTTAGCATCCGCCCAACACGGGCTCTGATCGCCTGTCACCGAACTGGCTGAACTGTTGTAACCACTTGATTCGCCCGGAAATAGATCGCAACCGGCTGCAGTGCGTACGACCATCTCTAGTTTACTGGCACTCTTCATTACCGCCACCGCTTCGCTGAAGAGCACATCCGAAAAATCTATGCTGTTTACGCTGAGTATTTGATCGCCCTGTCGTAGGCCCGCCTCGCGTGCAACACTTTTCTCTTTGGTGAATTGTACGAAAATTCCCGGCTTCCATTCGGGACCTTTACAAATGCCCAAGCCGAGTTTTGTGCGAGGCGCCACATCGAGTGTAATGTTCACCTCCTTGCTGCGTGTGTCACGATCGGGCATGATTTTGTATGAACTTTCAGAGGAGGCACTACTGCCGTTCGTGAATGTTTTCACCGCGTGCCAGGAGAGCTTGTCTGTATCTTTCCTGTGTAAAAGTAATCCGAAAAATCTGTTAATATTTTATGGTAAAGATGACTACCCAATGATTAAAATGAGGCTAATTCAGTTAGAGTAGCTGATCGAAATGTTTCGTCATTCATTTTAAATGTACAGAAATATCATGCTTCTGCTAACAAAATGCTTTGCATACTTTTAGGTTTCTCTTTTGTTTATGATTTAGTTTGCCACCAATACTGCTAGGTTTCGTTTAATAACGGAAAAGTAGTTTATCCTAAGGAGATTAGGGCATGTAGAACTGACCGACCCACTCACCATGGCTAACCGTCTCACTTAGACGTTCATGGTGCTGCCAGACACACACAGAAAGTCCTTTGAAGTGTATCTTGTAAAAAACCTTTCTGTTCCTTTCCGCTGATTGAAGTAGCCGTTTTGAGCTCTTGACCCTTGCACTTTGAAGTTCTGTACACATTCATGCAACGGCCAAAACAGCCCTCCCGGTAGCCTGGAAACAGGCCGGTTAGCCACTAAAATAACTTTTTAAGCTTAGCACCATACGTTTTGCACATAGTTTTCTTAAATTCAGCAGCCCACAGGTCGTTCCCAAAGCCTATCGCCTATCGCCTATCGCTTTACTCCACTGAATGGAACGAGTAATAATAATAATAATGAACCTATTACGTCCTGTGAAAAGGACAAGTATATAAGTTAGCTAAAAGGCATTCGCTGAAAAGGCGTTAGCTTCCAGGGAATATGTTGCTCTATTGCTTTATCCAACGTTGTCCGAGATACTACTTTATTATGTTTCCTCACGTATACTCGGACCACTATCTTGCGGAACTTCTGTGCAGTTCAGAGGGCCAGTACATATAGAAGAAATATGAGATGGTATTTCAAGCTCCCCACGTTCAACCGGAAGTGAAACTATTGGTTTTCGACAAACTCCAAATAAAAGTAGGTATGATGAGGATTGCTTCAGGTAATGGAGTAATTTGTGTCAAAATCAAAGGATAAGCTTACTCAATATCAGAAATATATAAGATCTTATTGAGTGCGCTATGTAAGACTAAAACCCACTGTCAACGAACATTGTTCTGATATTTGCCAGGTGTCAAAACTTGGAACAGGCAGCCCTGTTGGAAGTGATAGCATAGAAGCCATAGACATTCCGTTCCTGTTTCCGTTTATCAACAACATCCATGTTAGCCTTGAAATACAGCATAATAGGGGCTATTTTCGACCCAGTGGGCAATTAAAAAGTAAAGTTCTATCTTGACGAACAAAGACCAAACTAAAGAAGCCCCATCGAATCCAAAGTCAAATACTGCCGACAGCAAACTAATGCCTCACATTTGGTGGAAATAGTCCCTCATCGACGAGGCTTTCAACAGATGACAATAGTGCTATAACGGTATTTATGCACTGCCAGTAAAGTGAAAAATGGCATCACTGGCAAGCTCCCATTGCCAAAAAAACAAAATTAAGAGGGAAGTAACCCACCGTCTGGGCAAGCCGCCAAACATCAGTGCGACCAATGATTTTTCTAAGGACGAAGTTCAGGGGGTTATCGGGAAGACGGAAGTCTCCAAATCTGAATGTAATAAGTAAATATTTATAATAGGCGCTTTGTAACCACTGAAGCGATTTTCCGCCGAGCTCCTCCTCCAATTTTTGGTTTTGTGTCTTGATGCCGCCTCCGAACGGCAGATGGCTTTTTAACGAGGATCGTTTTATCTTGTCTGAAATACATTCTGTGGGGTTGACATTCCATGCCGAGAGGCATTTAAATTATTTTTATTAAATTATTTTCTCATAACTTTCGGATGTTGGTTGCACGAGGATTCGAACCCGAGCCTGCCGAATGGGAGTATGAAGAAGAATAAAAAATTTGTGTTCAGCATGAACAGGCTTCCCGTCACGGTTCAAAGGTCATGCTCTGTGTATGGTGGGACTAGACGGGTGTGGTGTACTATATGGTGCAAAAACCACTATGAATGTAAAACGCTATCGACTACGACTAATGCGTTCGAACCGTGAACTACGTGAAAACGGCCAAAAACGACCGAAAGGCATGACAAAGTGGTTTTGCTCGGCATGATTGTAACGGCCAACAATTTCCTGAAAAATGTGAAATGCTAGGTCTTACTGCGCCCGCTGTTTTCTACAAGCCTTACTCCATCGGCTTAGTCGGCCAGCGTATTTCTTGTAGCTTGTGTTGTGTGACGTCATAACTTCGAACCAAAGTGCGCAACAGACAGTAAGGTTTTTTGGGCGTAACGGCATCTCTTCAATTATTTGAGGATTCTCGGAGCCCCAAATACCATCAATTTTCTATTTTACGTATCTACCGGTGGTTGATAACTGCCTGACTATTAACTAAAACAAAACATGTTTGTTTGTTTGGTTTGGAAGTTTGGAAGTTTGACAGATGTCAAAATGCAGCCATGTACTTTTGAAATCACCAAAAAGTATAATTTTTTGAACAATAAAGTTTGAAAATCGAGGAAAACTCTCATAAAACTTTTTTCGGACTTGCAACCCAAAAAATATCGAATTCCAATATTGCAATATACATATTGCTGAACATAAAAAACTGAATACATATTTTTCCACATTTACGACCATTCATTAATTACATTGCATAACTTACTCTTTGATCGGCAACATTCCCACACTCCTCACTTTCATTGTAATCCTATCCTGGTTGGTTATGAATTGTATTAGTTCCTTGTGAATGGCGTCGTCCACGCGAAATCCATTTATTCGTAGAATTTGGTCACCGATCTGCACATGAATAGAAACCGTAAAACATGAAATACTCGTTAAAAATTTACTAGTCACTATTTACATATAACGGTACTAATTTTGGTGTGAGTCGCTGGTGTTGCGGCTACAAGCGAGTAGGAGCCAGCGCATGAATTGGCGTTTGAAATGCGAGAAGCGTTAGCGCTTTGGCCGCTAGAATGTAGACAGGCGCACGTGTGCGACATAAATTTTAATTTTCGGAAAAAAGGGGCACAGAATGCCAGCACACACACGAGTATGTATGTATGTATGAAGGTAGTGTAAATTAAATTAAATTCAGATAAATTTGCATGTACGTGTAAATATATATAATAAATATGTATAGATGTGTATGTGTGTGTGAGTGTGAGTATGTGGCACTGATAGGACTGCGCAAACGTACGTGTTGGACGCACCCACATAACGACTGCTTGTCTTATTTCGGCTTAACGTGGTTGCGACAGTCGCACGTTTCTTTTTTCCTGAATTCTAGAAAATCTTTTTTGCTTGCTTTCCAAACGCAATTTAGTTGCTTCATTTTTTCGGTTGCGACACATCAGAAAGTGGAACAACTAGACTCGCTTGTGTATGTATTTTTGTTTTTTTTTTTTCAATTAGTTTGTGAATAACCCGAATTCGCATACTTACACGCATTCCCTTGAGCTCGGCTTCGCTATTCCGGTCGACGCTCGATATGAAAAAGCCCGTGCCAAACTCTTTGCCACCACGTACGGTGAACCCGAACGAGGGACTGGTGTCGGGCGTGACCAAAATGCGACGTGCATGCGGCCGGATGAGGCGCAATATGCGCAGGCGTGTGCTGGCCACCGCTGCTGCGGCCGCCGCCGAGGAAGGTATGCTGATGGCGCACCAGGAAGAGGTAGTGGCCAGTGTCATAACATCGCTGGACGAGCTGGCTGTGGAGCCTTGTATGCTGCTGCAATCGGTCAACATGTTGTCTGCTACTTTATTACGGTACCGCTAAGTGTGTGCCTCTATTCTTGTTGTTGTTGTTGTTGTTGTGCCACGAGACAGCCGCTGCTGTTGCTTTTCGTTGTGCTACGTGATGTTGCTGGATTTGTGTTGTTTCGTCGATTAACTGCGAATGGAAATTGGAAATTTTTTATATGGAATTAATAAAATGTTTTGTTGGCAGCTGCCGCAGAGCGTCAACAGCTGCGCTTGAAAGGCGTGAAAATGTTCGTGATAAAGAAAATTATAAATTGGCTAAAAAGTGCAGTTGCGATGTTTGCTTAGCCTTAACTATAATAGTTGTTGTTACTGTTGTTGTTGCAATTTTCATCTCACTGTCGACAATGCAATTTCTCCCGCATATTGCATTAACATTCGCTTCTGATGTTGTTGCTGCTGCTGCTGTTGTTATTGTTGTTGCAAATCGCATATCTCTCACACAGTTGTGCGGTGATGCGTTTGGGCCATTTGTGCTCGTTTCACATCTGTGCACGTCGTCAAGACGAGCAATTCAACCACTTCTAAGTCGGCGGTGGGTACATAGCGGGGCTAATGGAGATCTGAAAGTCTTCATGTGCAGCTGCAGCTGCATTAATTTCACGATGATTTGTAGTATTGTTGTTTTCAATTTCTGTCAATGCCCGCGCTGTGCTGTTGACACCCTCGACAGTATTGATGTCCGCCGCCAGCATGCATTGTCATGTATTTATCGACGCTTGCACACATTCGCAACAAGTCTTGGCAAACATCAGCAGCATCGACAGCGGAGGAGGCAATGTAAACACGCCCAAAGGCAATGAAAAATGATGTTGTGTGTCAATGAGGGCGTGGGTCGTGGGATTGGGTAGGTTTTCCGAAATTTAATTCGTAATTAAAAATTAATTTCAATGAGCGTAAATATTTGTGAAATAAAATTCTCTTGACTGACAGCTTCTTTGGTTTCTTGCCTAAATTCGATAACAACAAAATAATAATATGAGCTTGGATCGAGCTCTTGATAACTTTACTTTTTTAATGATCTTCTTTGTAGAAACTATGCACAGTATGTTGTATGGGTAATATATAAATATATTTCCCCCCCCCCCTCCCACACTGTCTAGAATGGACTGCGGGACGGTAGTTGGTCTAAAAACAGGTCACAATGAATTGGCGTCGCACGCTAGCCGATTGGGCTTTAGAAACCATGGCTTCTGATACTTGCGTAGGGGAAGGTATGATTGAGACGCTAGAACACTTCCTCTGTCTCAGTTCGGTCTTATCTAGAGCTCGTTTTACATATCTGGGAGCTTCGTAAGTATTTAAATCAAGATCGCTTAAATTTCGGAATAAACTGGATTAACCTGAACCACAACCTGGTACTAAAAGCCATATCTATGTAAGGCGTAACATCCAGCCAATATAACCCAACATAACCTCGGCCGAGCTCATCCTTCAATTTGTGGAATGCGTCTAGCTGTTTTTCCAACAAATGGAGGGACCAGCAGTTTATACTACGACCTTCCCAACGGCTGATGGTTTTTTATGAGGAGCCTTTACTTCATGTTATAAATACGCCGGGAGGTGTTGGCATCCCCTGCCAAGCAGAATTTTTATTTAAATTTTTCTATAATTTTTGGATGTTGATCGGATCATGACTCGAACCATGCCTTTGCGAATGGCAGTACGCAATTATAACCACTTGCCTATTTCGGCCACCAAAATACTAACACCCTTCAGAAATATCCCGGAATGCCAAAGGAATGCCAAAAACTTAGAGAAGTTAGTTGAGTTTGAAACGGTGTGATAAACTGTTAGATGTGCCAATGGATGTTAACTAGAACCACTCAGTTATATTATTTCCAAAGCTCCAAAATTTCAGTCAGTATTTTTGTTGGAGTATTCGATAGGCTGTGCGTGCTGTTTCGAAAGAAGCCATGACAATGGAATGGGTTTGAAACGGCTTAACTTATTACTAAACTTGTCCCATAAGAAAATGGAATTAAGACTACTTCACAGAATGCTTGGAATATAAAAGCTAAGTTGTAGAGACACGAAAGTATCAACCAAAAGTTTAAAATTTCCAGGAGTAATATATAATGTATAGCGGACACCGAGTGTATTGTAACGTCGTCAATCCTTGGTCCAATTTCCAGAATCGAGTTGTGTGGCCTTAATTTCAAAGACTATAACCACTCTCGCACTCTTGTGACCCCTTTTCCGCTATGATCATCTTTGCTTCAACTTTTCTTCTACTGGGGAGATTGCATCGAAAACTGTCAAGACCTAAGAATTGTCGCCTATACAAACAACATGACCTAACCAACGTAGTTGCTATTGCTTTATTATCTGAACTTTATGACAGAGCTATAATATAATTTGTAGTGTTGGTTGGACCAGGACCTATTTTTAATTGCAACACGCAAGGATTCGCGCAACTATTAGTGAGAGGGGAATTTTAAAAAGCTTCACAGCGCACCTATAGGCCCATCACTGCTTCTTAGCTCAACAACTCAACACAAAATGCAGTTCAGTGCGAAATAGAAAATATCTGTGGGTCAATGAGCCTCCAACTTGTGTTTTTTCCATAGAGAAATGACGGTACAGTTGTATAGTTCACCGATCGTTCATATATTTTGGTTCAAAAGCTACAGATTTTCTACAAATGACAGAAAAATTTCGATAAATGATTTCACTTGTCGAAGAAAGGATGATTTATGTAAATTTTATTGCAATAAAAAAATAATAATATCAATTTCAAAGTATTGTTTACCCCGACTCCTCCATAGAAAGTGATAAATAATCAAGTTTTTATTTTTTACTCATTTATTTACTACTAATTTGTTGTTGTAGCGCATCTTATATGGAAATAATCAGACAAAAACTTATTTCTATTCAAATTAACAACGAACAATTGCGCATACGTTACATACATAAATACATACATACATGCATTAAACTCTAACCGCAAGATGCAAATATTTGGAAAATGCAAAATAGAAAAAATTGCCAAGGAAGCGGCTGGACACACAACGAAGATGCAAGTGCAATCATAGCTGTTGTCTTTCAAGCGCTGACTGGTTGCCTGGTTGTTGGTGGAGCAGCTGCTGGTTGTCGGTTGGTTAGCGTTAGTAAAAGTGAAAAAATCACTTTCTCCATGTCGCGCACATTTCTAACCTCGCCATGCGACTGCTGCTGCGGCGATTGTGTTGTCTGTGCACCGTCGCCTGTCGCTAGTTCGTGCCGTGTCCACCGTGGCATCACATGGCACAGGCTAACCCTAATCGACAAGGAGCATCTTCTTTTGCCAACATTCCCACTTTTTCCTGGCCAAGTGTGCGAAATATTTACACAACAGCTGCCTGCTGATGCCTGTTGTCTGCCAAGTGTTGTTGTTTTTATGTTTGCTAGCCGCTGACTGCCGCCTGCCACATCATGTCTACTGTGTCGTTATGCTTACAATGGAAAATCTATTTGTTTATAATTTAAATTGTTGTTGTGCTGTTCGAGGCTGCCAAAGGTGGCGGCGTCTATGTTACGACATGTCTACTACAATAAAGCGAAAACAAAATCAAAACAAAGCCCGATGCAGTGATGTGGATGACACCGACGGTAATGGCGTGCAATGTCGTCATCCGTTGCATTGCATTGTCACAACCACAATGGGAGCGTAAAGATAGGAGAATTTCAGTGGAGTTTTTCCATTTGGGGGATAGAAATATATTTACATTGCATGTACATAATTTGGATGTCATTGAACTAAGAAAACTGTTAGGAATGCCATTAAATAATTGCTTATATAAATTTAGTGTTTTTAGTAACTTTTTGTTTCTGATTTCAGGTATATATTTCTTCTTTACTGGTGTAAGCACAGCTGAGACGATTTTAGCCGCATCGTCATTAAAAGTGGCATATATAATTCGAGATGTTGTACAACTCTACATCTGAGCTGGTCTCTATGTGAAAGGCCCCAAACCTTGTGCACAACCTTGCCAGTTGTGTAAGTTTCAAATTGGCTCACATTTATGTAGGGAGCCGCTTTCATCAAGGCCGAGCCCGCTCGCAGCCTCTGATAAACTAGACTTCAGCAAACTCCTAAACCGAATATTTCGCAGTGGCTCCACCGGTTTGACCTTGGTTTGGTTACCGCATTATAAAAAAGAGTTCTAAGATGCGCGACGTGACCGACAAGTGGGAATTGAGTATAGTCCCCCGACTGTAACTGCATGATCGGAAGCTTGACCACACCCCATGAGGTGGTTGTACTATGCATTTTTCTCAATTTTCGGTTGGCTTTTAAGAATGTCTTAGACGAGATAGTCACAACCGCATTCAGAGAAATGGCTATTGGAGACAACTTAGTGAAACTCGTGACATATTTCTTAGAACAAAGGTGATCTCCCTCCTCTCTGTCTCACTATAAACACGTTGCTTATAAAGCTTGAAAACATGGGCGGTCAACTTTTACACCGCATGCACTTGGAGGTATTCAAATCACTATTTTTATCGAGTTCTGTATACATGTAATCCAACTCAAAATATGGTAGAAACTTAACGGTAGGATGTGCTGTGGAGTCACCTTCGTTTCACTCGCAATCGAGATGGACAAGAGACTGCTTGACCATCTAAGTGTCTTTCAAGTAGAGTTAGCAGCAATATTAGAGCACTTCTGTGCAATGTTACTTCAACCTCAAAGGTGACTATTAGAAGGAGCTCCTACTTGTATGCGAAATGCCCATGGTTTGAGTTATCGAACATACAGACTTCCTAGAGAATAGTGAGGCCAACCATTTCCCTATAAGAAGAACAGTTCTAACTACGGTTGATTCCGAACACATCGTGGATCCTATGCAAAAATTCTGACGATATTGCTCAAACACGCTGATCTGTCGATTGATCGAAGATAAGTGAACAAAGTCACTACTTTCTACCTGACAACCGACTTAATAACCGGACACTCATAGTAGAGGGATGGACTAGTTTTTAGCGAACTATGTCGGGACATAAAAAAAGTCCCTCGGTGCAACCAGACACCACAGACCGTGAATGCCAAATAACTAAAAGTATCGAATAAAGTAAAATTTATATTCAAGGAAACGTAATAGCCGAGCGGTTGGCATTACATACCGCCATTCCGAAGGCCACAGTGCT